TGCTGCTGTAGCACCGGCGCAGCCGCGGCACCGGTACCGCCGTGGGACCTGCACAATGTGACACCGGTAAAGCTGGGGGAACCTGTACAGTGTGACATCGGTGTCGCTCTGGGACCCGTGCGGTATGACACCGGGACCGCTGCAGCACCGGTACATCTCCAGTCCCACTGGGGGTACCCCACCCCTGGGCCCTGCTCCCTGCCTGCTCTCGCTGGGTCCCTTCGCTCCCCTGGGCTGCTGTGCCCGTCCCCGGGGCGCGCAGGCTGCGGCTGGAGGCTCTTCCCGCCCCGCTCACCCCGATTCCCCCTCGTGCTCCCCGCAGGGCGCTGGCCATGGAGCCGGGCACCATCGACAACCTGTCCATCCTGTACCAGAGCTCCGACTTCATCGTGGTCAACAAGCACTGGGACATCCGCATCGACAGCAAGATGTGGTACGAGACGCTGACCCTGCAGAGCCAGCTCAAGTACCGCTTCCCCGAGCTGGCTGACCCTGACACCTACTATGGCTTCAGGTGAGCGGCCAGGGACCGAACCGGGCTCTGCCCTGCCTCCGAGCCGTCCGTGGCCGGGCCACGCTGCCCGAGTGCCCGGGGATGCTCCTCCGCCTCCCATCTGCCCCCCAGGTTCTGCCACCAGCTCGACTTCTCCACCAGCGGGGCCCTGTGCGTTGCGCTCAACAAAGCGGCGGCGGGAAGCGCCTACAAGTGTTTTAAAGACCGTCTGGTGACCAAAGCCTATCTCGCCCTGGTAAGCCCACCCTGCCAGGTCCTGCTTCTGGACGTATCTTCTGAGTTTCCAACGTTGCAGCTCGGCCTCTGCTTCTCGTCGTCCCGGCGTTGGTGAGGAACGAGCGCCGGGGCTCGGTTTGCAAACTGGCTTTCTGCCCTGCAGGTCAGGGGCCACGTCAGCCAGAGCCGAATGACGATCCGCTACGCCATAGGGAAGAACACCACCGAGGGCATGACCCACATGATGTGCATCGATGGGACGGAGGGTGAGCAGCTCCCGTGCCCTGCCTGCGCTGCCCGGACCACCTGGGCCACGCTGCGGGGAGCTGACCCCCCCTCCGGATCTTGTTGCAGGCTGTGAAAATCCCAAGCCTTGCCAGTCGGAGCTGATCGTGCTCGAGCACGGGTCCTACAGCGGAGACCCCGTAACCAAAGTGCTGCTGCAGCCGCTGACAGGTGGGAGCTCGGGGCCGGGGTGGCGCGGGCACGGGGGGCTGCTGAGGCTGGACAGACAGAGGCAGCAGAGGTGCTGCAGCGGGACCTGCGCTTGCAGCCCCGGGCCTTGGTTGCAGCGTGGTGGCATAGTAAAAAACAAAGCCTAGAAAGGGCTGAGCGGAGCTGAGCGCCGCACTCGGCTCGCGGAGGACTCGGGTTCTCAGACTGGGGGGACAAACGCCGTTTGGTGCGTTGTCACCTCGCACCACTCTGCCCTCGAGGAGGGATTCAGGGATAACCTGTGTCCCTGATTCCTCCGCTCCCGCTTTCCCCCTAGGGCGGACTCATCAGCTCCGGGTTCACTGCAGCGCCGTTGGCCACCCCATCGTGGGGGACTTCACCTACAGCCACAAGAAGGACAGCAGTCCCTATAGGATGATGCTCCACGCCTACTACCTGCGCATCCCCACCGGCAACGAGCTCATCGAGGTCTGCGCACCCGACCCCTTCGTCACCACAATGGACAGCAACTGGGTGCCCCACCAGGTCACTCACCGGCTGGATGAGACCATCCAAGAGCTGAAGGACAAGATGATGCAGAAGGGGGAAGAGGAGGAGAGCCAGGAAGCCGTGCTTGGTGGCGGAGGAGAGGAGGCACTGAGCGAAGGCAAGAGCCCGGAGACGGAGGAGCAGCGAGCCCGGTGCGAGCAGTGGTTGGCCGAGTGGGCTTTGGAGTGAGCACAAGCCACGTCTGCATTTCCAGCCCAATGCTCCATTTTCGTCCCAGTGGGTCTCCACAGAGCCCAGCGCTGACTCCACATCTGCACATTCTGTATGCCGTGGCTTCCCTCACTTCTGGGGCTGGGATTAGACAGATTTTAGCAGTGATTAGGATGGGTTTATTTTTTAATGTACACATCATCCATCTGGGCACTGGATGCCCCTTTCCTAATTCTGGGCCTCAGCAGCAGAGTCAGTGTGTCACGTACCAGCTTAGAGTGACCCTAAAGCTTTACGTCCCTGTCCCGGGGCTCAGGCACAGCCGGGACAGCACAGACACTGCCTTTGCCACGAGCGCGATGGACGTATCCGCAGACCCTCAGTGCTAGGATGCTAAAACGCAGCCCAGCAAAGGGAGAGGAGAACGTGCCGGGTGCAGCTTCCGTGCCCGTGTCCCCAGTTCCCTTCGCTCCAGCCTGCTGTGCTCACTGGCACACGCGTTGTGTGGGAGGTGGGAGATCAGGAGGCCGAAGTGCAGCTCGGGGGCACCGACAGCCCTCCTAGTCCCGGGGCGGCCCCGGGTGTTTTGCCCGCGGAGCTGGGCTGTGCAACGCGCGCAGGAGAGGTCCCTGCCTGCCACCGAGGATGTGCTGCCTGCCCGTCCCTGCCCTCGCGCTTTCCTTCCTGCCTCAGCCCACGTGTGGTGTTTTTTTTTTTTTTAAAGTTTTTTTGGAGGTGAGTGAGTGGATACGAATGGATTTTAAACTTTTTTCAAATTTCTATGAGAAGAATCTAGTCTTTTAGCGGTTCTGAAATACCAGTGGTCTCGGAAATGCATGTATTTTTAGTACTTCTGTGGTCAGAATAGCCAGCAGCCCAAAGCTTTTTTAATAGATCTTACTATTCTTTCTCCTAGCGTTGCCTTTTCCTAGCACCCGCTTTTATCCTGGGTGTGGATGTAATCCCTGCTGAGACGGGTCAGAAGACACGAGCCCCTTTCGGAGGTGAGTGTGGATACGAATGGATTTTAAACTTTTTTCAAATTTCTATGAGAAGAATCTAGTCTTTTAGCGGTTCTGAAATACCAGTGGTCTCGGAAATGCATGTATTTTTAGTACTTCTGTGGTCAGAATAGCCAGCAGCCCAAAGCTTTTTTAATAGATCTTACTATTCTTTCTCCTAGCGTTGCCTTTTCCTAGCACCCGCTTTTATCCTGGGTGTGGATGTAATCCCTGCTGAGACGGGTCAGAAGACACGAGCCCCTTTCTGCTTTACCCAAACGAGGGGGAATCGGTTTTTGTCCCGTCGCGTGGATCCTCGCTGGCAGGTTGCTGCGGGGGTGTCGGTGCCGGGGGGTGCAGCAGGCAGGGCCTTCGGGTGGGCAGTTTGGGAGGGCTCTGGAGCAGCAAGAGCAGCCGAGGAAATGGTTGAAGCTGAAAGAAAGGCTGAGGACTGATGCGAAGAGTGGGAAGGAGCTCGTCTCTCACGCTGGCGCTCAGCTTTGCAAGATGCGGAGAGGAGTTTCTCTGGAAATGCCCTTGCTTTGCCGGCCGGCGGCGTGCCGCTTCACTCTTTCCTTCCCACCCAGCTTGTCCTCTGCAGCCTGTAGAGGACATTTAGAAAATGGAGAGAGCAGGGCAGCTGGCGTGGGCTGGGGAGGGACAGGGGTGGCTGGAGCCCCGTGCATACAGAGCACTGATCCCCGCAGTATTTGGCACCGAGCCGCCACATCAGCGTGTGCCCAGAGTTGTCATCACCCCACAAGCCCTGTCCCATTTGAAATGCACCTGACGGTGGTTTCACATAACTCATATTCCTACCCCGAGAGGAAATAAAATGGCACAGCCCTCTCCTTGCGGGTGAACACACCGTGCGGGGGTCACTGAAACCCCGCAGGGTTTTGCATCGCCCGTCCCTGGCATCCCCCAGTGCTGGTGGGTGCAAGTTCACCATGCTGCCCATGTGGCCGGGGAGGAGGTGGCCGTCACCTTGCTTTCGTGGCTTGGGACAAAGTGCTGCCGTCTGCTGCAGGATGGTGACTGGTGCACAGCTCACGGCTCTGCAGGCGCCAGCCCTGGGCACCAAGCAGGGACCGTGGGCTCATGAGCTGGTGGCAGAGGGCTCGGGGCGGGGGGGGGGTTTGGGCCCGGGGGGGTTTGGAGGAGCAGAAAATCTGTCTCCTTCTTCCCAGGCCCCGTCCCTGCCCATCCCATCTCCCAGGAGAGGCCGGGGAGGGGAGAGGCAGCCACAGGCGGGTCCTGAAGCTGTAAATGAAGACCATGAACCTGTTTGCCAAAGAATGAACGTGGGTGACGTGCACAGGAGGTCCTGAAAAAATTACAGGTGAGATTTGCAGCATCAGAGGCAGGACGCAGCCTTCCCTTCCTGCGGGCTCCTGTGCACGATGGGGGACACGTCCTGCAGCCGCACGTCTGGGACGAGGCTGCCCTCGGCCGCAGGGCCGGCGGTCGCTGGCAGTGGTACGTGGGGACACGCCGGTGCCCGCGCACAGGGGGACGCTGATGGACCATCAGTGCTGGGGGGCTGGCACCCAGTGCTCGCCCCGCCGTCTGCGTTGAGGAGCCCCTGCACCACCCATCAGCCTTTGTGCGTTGCACTTTTACCTGACATTGCACGAACCGGACATAAATATATATTTTCCTTACCCCGCAGAGAGGTGTTCTCCAGGCGCCCTTCCCTGGCTCCCCTCCCGTGCCACATGCAGTCCTGCTCCCTCCTCTCTGCCGTCGCTGCTGCGGGGCCTTTTGCTGCATCGTCTGTGAATCCACTTGTGCATTCGGACCGGGGGGTTGTGATCGGGTGTGTGTTGTGTGACATTCTGTACAGCTTGCAATAACCCTTATTTCTTGTTGCACATTACCGTAGTAAACCATTACCTCTATACCCTGCCGTTCACCCTCTGGTCTCTCAATCCCCGCCGCGCCGCGCAGGCCAGCGCATTGCTGCAGCATGGCGGGTGCGGTGCTGGGGGCTTCCAGGAATGAGCCCGGACCGGCACAGCGGGACCGGCCCCAGGGCTCCAACCCGGCCAACCTGTTGTGTGAGCACCGGCGCTCGTCCTCACCCTGCTCAAATCCCCCTGGCCGAAACCACCAGGATTGTCTACCTGAAAGCCCTCCCGGATTTAGTAACTCTGACACAGACGACCGAGGATGCCCGGGGTGGCTGGAGCAGATGCTGCTGCCCCAGCTCTTCCCCTGCCCGTCCCTGCCCATCCCTGCCCGCTGCCCACACCGGCCAACACCAGCGGCTGGGATTGTCCTGAACCAAATAGCAGAGGTGGAAGAAAAACTCCTCATTTGGAAACACCGCAGCTCTCCCTGGCAGGGAAATGGGGGAGCAGCCCCAGGGCTGCCGGTGTTTAAGGGGTGCACAGGGAAAGCTGCTGCCACGCATGATTTCTATATAACTCTTGTACATCAACGGTCATTCCTCAGGTTGGAGCAGCTGGAAAAGTGAGTGAAGACCCAAAGGAATTATTTGCAGTCTTCAGGTTGTGAGATTTTTAAGGTTATAAACCTGGCAAGGGCAGAGAAGCAGCTGGGTAAGAGGAGGGAGCGTTTCCAGCCCGCCCAGCATGGGGAGATGCAGTCGGAGTCCACCACCGACCCGCCAAGCCCCCGGGGGACAGGGCTTGGGCAGATGTTTCCCGGCACGTTCAGGTTTGGGGTGGATGCTCCTGTGCCTGTTCCTCCTGAGGTTGTTTCAGGGCCAGTTTTAAGCTCCATGGGAACATGGTGGATGCGGTGACCCGCAAACGGGCCCTGATGTGCCCCTGCCCTCCCACTCCAGCCCCCTCTGGCCGGCAAGCCCGCGGCAGGGGCCGTGTCCCACCAGCAGCCTCGTAGCAAACAAGTTTCTGTAATTTTACCACTCCAACAAGAACTATTTTAATAGCAAACCCTTCCAAAACAGAAACCAGAAACACCCGCGGGCGTTGACCAAGCCCTGGTGCTGCAGGACCGGTTGCTTGGTGGGGGACGGGGACACCAGCCGGCAGCACCGGGGGATGGCTAACCCTGCTCAGCGCCGCAGGTCCAGGGACCCTTTGCGAAGGCTGATGCCCCCAAACCCGGCCGAGCGGGTGAGGCGGCCAGCCCAGCCGACCGCTGCCAACTGCTCTCGCCCTTCCCTTCTCCTGGGATAAATGCTCAGATAACGTTCGCTGCTGCACAGCATCAGGCTCCTCTGGGTTTTCATCACACAGCCTCGGAAAAGCTTTGCTTCCTTTCTTTTTGGTCTCCTTCTTCATGGCACATGCTGGACGGCATTTCAGTGCGTGATCAGAAATGGCAGGGAGAAAGCTGTAAAAAGGGGAATGGGATTGTCCATGGCCAAGGCAAAAAGGACGGGCACGAGGGAAGCACCTCCCCGAGGGGTGCTGAGCCCATCACCAAGGACTCGTCTGTTCCGCACTCCAGTTGCCCTATAAAATATACCCCCGAATAGCTCAAAGGTTTTTCACTAACTGGGAGGACCTTTGTCTCCCTCAGCACAGAAATTACCAAACCAGAGGATTTAACTCATTTGCCCCAAAGTTCAAAGTGACCCTTAACAAAGGAAAAAAAACCCAGACCAGGAGAGAAAGCAGCTTTACAAAACACTGTTGAGAAACTGCCCCGTCACACCCCGTTTTCAGAGCAACATCCCCACCCCACAGCAGATAAGTGCTGAGCCGTCCCTGGCGCTGCCCATCCCCGGCCACCGCAGGTGGGTGAGCACCTTCCCCGGCTGAGCAGCGCCGAATCCTCGTCGCCAAGCCAAGTCCCCCCGGACGGAGAGCGACTTGGCAAGGCCACCGGTGGGATTTAGGGAACATGATGAGGCTTAGCGGAAAAATTACTCGCATCTAGTTCGAAGGGCAACAAGCTAATTGCTCTGGGCAGCGCTGAGCAGCCCATCGACGGCATTTCTAGAGTGGGGATTTATTTTCCATTGGGGGTTTCTAGCTGAGGGGTGTGGAGTCGGGTACAGGGGGAGGGCAACGCCTGCTGGTGCTCCGCCACTGGGTTACACTGGTTTTCTCCCAGTCTGTGCTGGTGTGGTCCCGTGTGGAGCCGGGGGATGGAGGGGGACCCTGGCCCTGCAGGGCACAGGCGGGAGCGGGGCTCTGGGTGTCCGAGAGGACAATTTATTGTGGAGTTTCTTTTAATAATGGATGGAGAATGAAATTCTGTTTTCTGATATATAGGATTTAAAACGCCTGCCTTGGTTGCGGGGGGTTTGTGCAGGCACTCACAGAGCACGGGTGGGCACGCTGAGCCACCGTACTCCCACGGCTCCAGCCCCAGCATCGGACGAAAGAATCGGCTGCAGGACCCCCCCGGCACCTTCCCCAGCCCCGTCCCCGCGTGGGACGCGGCTCCCCGTTTGCGCTCTGTGCTCACCCCGCGCCAAGGACGAAGCCCGCCCCGCGACGAAAAAAGTGGCTGCAGGACCCCCCCGGCACCTCCCCCAGCCCGGCCGGCAGCCAGCCCAGCGGCCCCCCCCGGCACCTTCCCCAGCCCGGCCGGCAGCCAGCACCGTCCCAGCGCGTGGGACGCGGCTCCCCGTTTGCGCTCTGTGCTCACCTGACCCGCGCCAAGGACGAAGCCCCGGCACAGGCAGCATGGTGCGGGCAGCCCCGGCCCGGGCAGCCATCGCTCTCTCTTTCCGTGAGTTACATCTTATCCCCCTAAAGCTGACCCCGTCCCAGCACCCCCTTCCACCCTCCGGCACTGGGGATGCTCCAGCCCGTGCTGCTTTTCATTCCCAACCCACTTGGCTTTGGCACTCCCTGCGCTCTGCTTTGTGCCCCCTTCAGCACCCGCAGGCAGTGGGAGTTTTTCCCAGCTGCAGCCGGCACCGCATTAGAAATCCGCACAGACAGATTTCCAGGGGCAGATTTATCACTTTTTGTCTTCTAAACCCACCCTGAGGCACCCTGGGTTGCCCGGGCTGGCGCAGGCTGCAGGGCAGTACGGGGGGCTGCTCTCTGCATAGTGTTTGCCAGCATTTACTAAACATTATTAAATTGACAAAGAAAAGGCCCTTCCCAGACTTTAAACCTGGAGCTGCTTTAGAACATGCCCCGACCGTCTGTACATACGGTCATGGATGTTTTATAACCCGCTCCCGCTTCGTTGCAGGTTTCTCCGCAGACCTCTTGAAAGCAGCAGCGGTGAGTCACCACCGGCTGCTCCAGTGGCTCTGAATACGCCAGGGCTTTGCCAAAACCTCGCAGCTGGTGCCAGGAGCGGCAGAGCCGCCGCGGTTCCCCCAGTCCTCGGCTCCAGGGAGGCAAAGCCATCGCCTCCCCACTGGCCCCCTGTGCAGCCCGTGGCCTGTCCCTGTCCCATCCCGTCCCTCACTTACCTGCTGCCTGGCAGCCTCCCTGCCCTGCTCCCAAACCGAGGGCTGGGACCCTAAACCTGATGGGCACCCAGCCCCCCCAGCTCCGGGGAAGCAGGGACAGCCCCGCTGTTGAAGGGTCCCCACTCCTGAGAGCGGCTGCGGTGGCTTTTGCCCCCACGCGTAACCCAGGGCAGCCTCAGGGCTGCGGCAGTTCTCAGCTGCCTACAGCTTGTGGGCCGGTCTGGGCGCACCGGCCAGGTCAGATCCCATTCCCCCCTCGGTCCCTGCGTTTAAAAGCCCTTCTTCCCGTTCCTTGCTGGGGCTGAGCGTCCCCCCGTCCTCCTCCCCAGGCTGCCCTGATCGTCGGAGCCGTCCTGTCCGCCACCGAGCAACATGCTGAGTAAGTACCGGCCCCAGCCGGGGTCTCTGACAAGCGGGGGCGTCTCAGGGGGCGCAGGCAGTGGGGCCGGCGTGGGTGGATGTTGCATTTCTCCCCACATCCGTGTCACGGCTGCTGTGTCAGGTCACTTGGGCTGGAGAGGGTCTAGAGCCTTGCGCAGCCGGTTCTGGTGCTGGCACCGAGGGTGGGATTTCAGCTGCATCGGCTTTTGTTGTAGCACAAACACACCAAGAATTTCCTTTCCTTTACGAGGCTGACGCAGATGCAACGGGAGCCTCCCCCAAGGCGAAATCCAGGCTCTGCTGGTTTCTTCCTCACCCAAAGCCTGGGGTATGGTGGGCACCTCTGCCACCACCCCGGCACGTGGGGATGGGCACCCTCATGCCTGCAGGGCATCCCCTTCAGCACCACCCCGGCACTGGCATTAAGGGACATTTTCATGACACCCCATGTTATTCCCACTTACCCCACGCAGCCATGGTCAGGGTGAAGGGGGATTTCTGAAGGGAACGAGCGGGTTCATCCTCCGTGAGGTGTTGGAGAGCTCAGGTGGATGGTGAAATGCAACTGTGCCTCCGCAACGCAGGCTCTCGGCCTCGGTCCTGCAAGGTTTCCAGTGCATCCCAGTCAGCGACCTGCCTGCTGCCGACATCCTCGCGTTTGCCCAGGGATTGCAAAACAAAACAGCGGAGCTGAGCAGTGCCCAGGTGGGCAGGGGCAGGAGTGGGGGCTGCAAACCCCACGGAGCCCGATGGGGCACGGGGAGCTGGGGGTGCCGGGGCGAAGGGGCTCTCACCGCCTTGGCATTGACAAGACAAGCCTCTCTCCGCCCAGCTGTCCTGCCTGGCCAGGCTGCTCGCTGCCAAGAACCTGACGGACGATTTTGGCAGGTACCCACCAGACCTGCTGCTCTTCTTTGGGTGAGTATCGAGGGCAGCACGCAGCTGCGGTTCTGGTGCCGAATCACGCCATGGGGCACGCGGGAGCTCTGCGTGGGAGAAGAGTATTACAAAAATTGCCCACATCTGCGGGCACCTTCAGACCCGCACGGGGCATTTCCAGCCCTGCAGACCCCCTGGTCCTCTCCTCGCCCCACTCCTCTCTGAGGCTGGGGCCATGCTGGCCACGGCATGGGGTGCATGGGGTCGGGCAACCCCCATTCCAAGACATCCTCCCCAGGGAAGAGGAGACCCCCCAGCTCTGTGCAACTCTGCAGCTCATTGCTCAGAAGGGAGCAACAGTTTAAAACTACTTTCCCCATGCCCACAAAGAGCAACATTAAAGATCTCCTGCCCAGACACGAGGAGCCCTTCGCCCCATTCCTCCCCGCCGCGCTGACTCTTGCTCCCCGCAGCTCGGCTGAGGTGCGCAGTGGGACCTGCAAAGCGTTTTACGCCCGAGCTTCCCGTGGGAACCTGGACCTGCTGCCCAGGGGCTCAGCCCAGCGGACAGGGCTGCTGCGTAGGGCGCTGACCTGCCTGGTGAGTGGGGGCCGAGCCGGGGGGTGGCCAGGGTCCCCCATACCCCGCACCAGAATTTGTACGAGGGCTGGGTCATCTCTCCCAGGGGGTGAGGAGCAGCCGCCTGCGCCCCGAGCAGCTCGGCAGCCTCGGGACGCTGGTGTGTGACATGGAGCCAGAGACCATCGTGGCCTCGGACCCTGGCATCCTGGAGAACCTGAAGCTCTGCCCAGCGCTGACGGGGGCCCAACGGGATGCCCTCAATGCTGTGCTCCTCGAGGGGGACACAGTATACAGGTAAGGAGCCTTTGCCTGCTCTTACGGGGTGGGCGACAAGCAGGAGGGATGGCATACCCATGAGGATGCTGAGCTGGTTCTTCTCCTGACGGCCACAGGGATCCTTCGAGCTGGGATTTATGGACTCTGCAAAATTTGGGGCCGCTTGTGCTGTCTTTGAACCAGACCACGCTGAGCTTGGTGGCCAAGGTAAGTCCCCTCCTCGAGACCTCGGGGTGAGTTGCCCATCAGCCAGGCCAGCCCTGAGGCTGCAGGACCCAGCACCCTCTGCCCCCCCGGCAGGCAGCGCGGGAGGCTTTCAGCAGGAGCATCGCGGCCGCGTACGGCAGCCAGGGACGTTCCCAGCGGGAGAAGTCCCTGACCCTCCTCAGGGCCTTTGCAGCAGCATCGGCTTCGTCTCATCCCAGGCTGAAGCGGAGCGCAGACTGTGAGTGTTTCCCTTCGCTGCCGCCAGTCCGGACGAGTTCAGAGCTCTTGGGGGGGAAAAATGCCCCCGGCTGGTCGGCATCTGGATGTTCCCCCAGGGAAGGGGACAGGACCAGGCAGAAAGCTGTGGGATTCCCTGTAAAGTAACTGGGGAGACTGGGGAAATGTCCTTACAGCACACTGGGGTGTTTGCTCTTAACCTGGGAGCTGCAATATGGCAGCAGCAGCTGGGAAGGAGCTGGGGTTGGGGAGAAAACTCCTGGAGCCGGGCAAGGGCAGCGCCAGAGGAGGATGCTGCAAGACCAGAGGATGCTCGTGTGGGTGACGTGGGAAAGGGTTCACTTTGCCGGAGCATTTTTAGTTGCCTTTAACAGGACAAAGCACAAGCGGCCTGCAGAAACATCAGCAGGTTCTTCAGGAATAACTTTAAGGGATGAAAGCAAATAAGGCACCTTCATGGGTCGGGCACCCAGGGGGTGGGAGGTTGATTCACAGTCCCGCCCGGCAGGATGGGCTTGAGCTGCGTTATTGCAATTCCCTGTTCATTCGCCGGGGCTCTTCTGAGGGGCTCTGGGGCCCGCGGCAGGACCGGGGCCAGGAGGGAAGGAGGAAACGCCGTCTGCCTGACGTGCCCTCCCTGCCCGCAGGCTGCCCGTTCGCGCCCATCACGGCCAGCACCGTCTCTGACCCCCTCTTACTCATCGGCTACGACACCAGCGAGCAGTTCGACCTCTGCCTGAGCAACGAGGTTTTGAAAGCAAACCTGGAGCCTCTGCTGGAACAGCCGCTCACCGTGGAGTACCTCCGGGTCATGAAAAAAAAGCTGGAGCAGGTGATGGGTGACACAGGGCAGGAGCCCCCGTGCAGACACACACACCCCCCCCTTAGCACAGGCACGCTCCGGGATGGGCGAGACCTGCTGCGGGAACAGGCATCGCCGGCCACAGGGAGGAAGGCGCCCGAGCGGATCTGTTTCTGCCTTCTTTTCCCTTCCCTGACCCTCTTTTCTGCCCCGCTGGCCTGGCCCTACAGATTTACCCGTCAGGGATCCCGGAGGAGCAGCTGAAGCTGTTGGGGCCGCTGTCCCGCCAGTACACAGCAGAGGAGATCAGCCTGTGGCTGGTGACATCCAGCGACACGCTCTCCGCCCTGCTCGACCCCTCGCATGGCAAGTGGGAGGCTCCCCAGGTAAACCCACGGCAGCAGCGGGGCACTGGTGCTGGTGAACCCAAACCGGGATCGCTCGGTGCCCAAGCCCAGCTCGGGGCAAAGGCATTGCCCAAGGGCGGCACGGTGGTTTTGCAGCACACACACTTCTACTGGGAGCATCTTCCTTCCCTGCCTGCGTGCAACCGCGTGAACTGTTTCTCCCAGGTCCGGCAGCTGCTCAGCAGGTACCTGGCCCTGGGGGGCACCTTGACCGGGCCCTTGCTTCGGAAAGTCGGTGGGAGAAACCTCTGTAATCTGCAGGAGGAGCAGATCAATCAAATATCTCCAGAAGCAATCAGGTAAGCCACTTTTTAGGGATGCTTTTCAGTCCTGCGAGGCCCCTGGGACCACGAGGGAAGCGGATGGTGGGATGGCAGACTCCCACCTCCGTTTCATCTCTGCCCGCTCGCAGGCAGCGTGGAGGGATGACCACGTCCCGCTCCCAGCTCCCGCCTGAGCCACCGGCACCGCGGGCAGGGACAGACCACCCTCTCCCCTGGCCAACAAAAGGGCTTTAGCTGTGGTTTTGGGTTGTGCCCCCGGCTCTAACCTGTGACCCTCCCTCTCCCCAGGACTGCTGGACAATTAAACATTTCTTCTTGCTCTCAAACCAAGAAGGACCAACTCTACAGAAAAGCCCAGGAGGCCTTTGCTGGCCAGGCTGGCACCACCGAGGCGTATTACTGCAGGATTTGGCCGTACCTGGGTAGGTGTTTCAGCCTTCGCCCTCCTTCCCACGGCAACCGAGGTTGTATAGCTCTTCCTCGGCCAGAGGGGTTTATCACTCTAGCAGTCTCCAAAACCCCTCTCTCCCAGCACTGGAAGTGTTTGCACGTGTCCAGGTGCCCCATACGCTTTCTTTAAGGTGGAGCTCCAGCAAAGGACCTGAAAGACTTGGCTAAAACTGGGGTTGCCATAGACATGGACATGGACACCTTTCTTGCCCTAAATCCTGATGAACTGCAGGTACGTCCCCGGTACGCTGCTGCAATTTTCCCCGCTGAAGGGCAGGGCTAGTTGAGGGCTGAGCGGTGGGGTTCGAGGTCGCAGGCCCATCCCTCCCCGCTGAAGGGCAGGGCTAGTCGAGTGCTGGGCGGTGGGGTTCGAGGTCGCAGGCCCATCCGATCACCGAGTCTCTATTTTTTTACCTTTTTAAATTTTCTTCTGGAAGTTATTACTTGCTCTGCAGTCCCGTTAGAAAAGCACTTCGTGGCGATGCTGGCTGCGAGGATGAACAAGGATGATGTTGTACGTGTATTGCAGAAACTCAGTGTCACGGATGTGAAAAATTTGCTTGGGGAAAACCTCCCTTACCTGAAGGAAGCTGAAAATGAGACCTCGGTGATGCGCTGGGTGAAGAGACAGTCCCAGCGGGAACTGGACTGTACCCTGGGAATTGGACTGCAAGGGGGGACGGGGGACCCCGGCCCCGCGGATTGCCATTAACCCTACCACTAATTCAAGTACCGGCCCCCACAAGGCCCCGGCCCCGACGACCACCCCTCCTCACCCCACCC